GTGCCACCGAGTGACTGTGACAGGAAGTCCCTGCCTGCCATCTGGCCCCTAGAGCAGCCCCACTTTTTGATCTTCGTTGAACTAATGTTCAACAGCTCAGGAGGCAAGGCCTGAGGCCCAGAAAGCAGCAGCCCCAGCAACCGGCCAAGGTGTTTGCAGGTGATGCACCTTCACAAGAAGGCAGGGAGGGAGCAGGCTGAGGGGATGCAGGGGCCACCTCCAGGCTCCAGGTGGCCGACCATGGGAGGGTCCACGCTGCCCGGGCCCTGGCCCAGCAGGCCAGCGGAGGGTCAGCGATGCCTCTCAGGCACAGACCATTGGGTGCCTGTATCTTGCCGGGAGCCAAGCTCACTGCTGAGGGGTCCGTTTGGGTGAAGCACCATCGTGTTTCCCCCAAAATAAGCAGCTCATGTGCCTCAAGCTGCCGGGCCCTGGCTGGTCACCTCCGAGGGCAGAGTTGTAGCCATGGTGGCTGCCCATCAGGTACCTAGGCGGGGGCTGGAGAAATCCCCCTTTACAGATGAGGAAACTGAGTCACCCAACGTCCAATGGCTAGGAAGTGGTCAGGTTACCATTGGGTCATACCTGTCTAGCTCCTGTGCTCGGCTGCTGCCCAGACACCCCCACTGGGGTCTGTTCATGAACTCACAGGACCCAAGGATTCTCACGAACAGCCCAGAGCCTTCCTGAGTCCCCTTCCCTAGAGCTCCAAGGGCCCCCAGGTAACTGCCAGCCACACAGATCTGCCCCCCAGGCCAGTGCGGTTCCGTGAAGGAGAGCAGAGTCTATCACGGGACTGCAGGGATGGTGAATGGGACAGGAGCCTGAGGGGATCTAGTCCCCAAGGGCAAGCTAAACACTGGTTTGAAGGGGCAGCAGGGCTACTAGTTTGCACAACTGTAGGAAGTACCACGCACATTGTAAGTGTGCAGTGCACAACTCGTGCTGCTGTACCGAGCAGCTGGGGAGGGTGGTAGCAACAAGAGTGGTAGGAGCCATGGGCATGCCCAGCGATGAAACCAGCTTTCCTTTCCCAGGGGCAGGGACTGCCTGCAGGCTTCTGGGCCCCAACACTCAAAAATGTGTCCTGCCAATTGAGGGCTCAGTAGAGACCCTTCAGCCTCCCTGCTGGCCCTAGCCCTGCCCCAGAGAAAGGGCCAGCTGCCTCCTCCCCCATCCCTGACCCTGTTCCAGGCCCCAGCTGGCTTCCTGGCTGGCTGCAGGCCCTGGCTGTCACCCCAAAGGGAGCCACTCGTAAACAGGAAATGCTTCCCAATGCGATGCCTGCTCTGGGCGCTGTTGCCAGCCCACAGGCTGGAGGCCATATCCAAGCCGCAGTGTTGACTGGTCTCTCCAACTGCCGGGGAGGGGAAGCTCACGGGGCTCCTCCACTCTTTGGGGCTGTTGGGGAAGGGGTGCTGGGCCCGAAGCAGCCAACTCCCCGCCGTGGAGTTCCACCACCTGTGGCCCTGCCCTCCTGTGTCTGGAGCTGCCTCCCTCCAGCAGCACGTGTGCCGGGGCATTGACACTGCGCCCTTCTGCTCCCTCTCCCCAGAGACAGTCTGAAGGCAGCCCCCAAGTCGCAGAAAACGGACTCCGCCAGCATCGACTATGCAGAGCTGCTGCAGCACTTTGAGAAGGTCCAGAAGAAACACCTGGAAGTGAGGCACCAGCGGAGTGGGCGCGGGGATCACCTGGACCGAAGGGTTGTCCTCTGACAGGCCTGGCGTGGAGAAGGGCCCAAGGAGTGGTCCCGTGGAGCACTGGCCCCTTCAGGCCCCTTCCCACCGAGCCTGAGGACCTGCCTCCGGAGCAGGGCTGGCCCTGCCACAGCCCAGGGATGGGAGCGGGGGTGGAGGCTGCTCTGTCTACCCGAACTCCTCTCACCACCCAGCCCCCTGGCCCCCCGAGCTGTCCAGCATTCAGATAGAGCCGGCTTCCTACCAGGGTGGGGCCACAGCCTCAGACACCACCTATCCTCTGGAATGGTCTCTTTCTAACACCCTCTGTGAAAGAGCTTGACCTCCCGGCCCACCAGAGCCCTGGCCTCATGCGATGTGTGTATACGGAGCTGTGTGCACATAGGGGCCAGCACAGAGGTCCGTGTGAATGATGCATTCCCTGCCCCAATAAAGAAATGACAGGAAACCCTCAGCTTGTGCCTGCCTGCTCCTTCCCACTGGCCCCTGCCCCTGCCTGATGCTGCAGCTGCCCCAGGACCTTGCACCTATCCTGGAGACAGGGCTCATGGTGGCCCCCAGGAGGGCTAGCTTCACCGGGAGTCTGGTTACTACACACTCACTTGACAGGTGTGGGCCTTGGGGGACCCAGCTCACCTCTAGGAACTGCCCCTACTTCCCAGAAAGCACCAAGCACTGGCCTGCCTGGAACCCGGAAACCCCTCCCAGGCACCTGCTCTGACTTCCATCCTGATTGCCCAGGGACCATGGGACACATCCCCACTAGTCACCTGGACTGAGCGCACCTCCGGGGTGTCTGAATGAAAGGGCATGCGCACTGCAGAACTGCGGCTCACTGGGGTGGGAAGGAGGGCCAGACCGGCGCAAGGAGGGAGGACGTGCCCAGGTGCTTCCCCTTGGTTGGGCTAAATGAGCCTCACCTAGCCGCACCTGTAGGCCCTTGACCTCACATTTTGGGAGCCTCTGATTGGCCTAAGGGCTCTTAAGTGGCTCTCAGGGCCCGTGGCGGGGGTGGAGCGAAGGAGCTTTTCCCAGAGCAGCGTCTCTGGGCGGTGGGTTTCACTGCTGGAGTCTCCAGGGTCGGGGTGTAGGACGCGGCCGACTTCTGTCCCACCACCCCAAGAAGGGTTGCCAGCGGGCCAGGTCACTACTACTCCCAACCGCCAGGCACCCCATCAGGGTGGCACCGCGCCACTTGGAGCAGGAGCCAAAGAACTTGTGGAGCAGGGTCCGAACTCCTCCGCCTGGGATGGAGCGCCCGGGGCAGGCGGCCCTCGGACACCTCGTGCTGTGCGCGCCGTGGCCGA